GAAGTTCCCTCCGGTTAACATGAAGAAATAGAATCCTGGGTGTTTTTTGAGGTGCTGGGGCTGGGGACCTGGGTCGGGGCAATCACATAGTAGGACCCCCTCTCTGTCCTGCCTTTCCCTCTTTCCTCTTGAATATTTCAATCCTGGTGAGACCACTTAAGGTGATCAGTTGAGTTAAAGGAAAGTAGAGAGGAGAGGAAAAGACAGCAGCCCCATTGCTTTACCTTCTGATGGGGACTATGGAAGGAGATATTAGGGACTGATTTGCATATTAACCCGAGTTCGGTTTTTCCTTTCTTCTTTTTTGTAAAGCCCAGCTGGCCAGGGCCACCACCTTGGGCCCCACTGGCTACCTCCCAGAGACTCTACCCAGTTGCCAGTGTCCACTCACTACCCAGCTTCCTACCCTGCAGCGACATCTTGGGGGCCCAGCCATGGACACGGGTTTCTTTCTCCCCCTGGGTCCCCACGGCCTCCTTTTCCACTCCTGACTTTAAAACTTTTTTTGCCTCATCTTTTTGTTTCTCCCTTGTTCAAGGGGAACTGGTCAGAGACTATTCCTTGGCCCCTACCCTGCCTCTTGTTTTTTTTCCCCAAACCAAGATTCTTGGGCCAAGAACAGAGGAATCGTGTTCCAAGTCTGTAGTTCTCAGAGGCCCTAGTTTCGTCTGGGTGCTGCATGTCAGAAGGATCCAGGTGTATCAATTATTCTGCCCATGCCTGTATGCTGCCTCTTCAATCACTTGTGTCCCCTTGTTTGTGAAGCACAACAGAGTGTGCTTTCAGAAGGAGCCTTTTGTCTTCCTAGAGTCTAAAAATATTTGCATGTAAATGTTGGGAATCCAGACAGTCTCCTTAAGATCTAACACTTTGCATGGGGAGGCATACAGGCCACTGGGCGCATTTGCAAACTGAATTTACACCCATTGCACCTTGTGTCCCTGCCTCATAGCATTTCGGTGGCATCTGAGAAAGAGTGTGACATTGATCCAGGCAAAGCATAAATAACCACATTTCAAAATGAATACTAATTGCATAATGACAGTTTCCAAACGATTAGCCTACTTTACAAAAAAAGTTAATTCAACACAAGCCCAGGGCTGGCTGTTTCTTATGTGTTGTGCTGCCAGTTGGCAGGCACTGCTTTGCAAGGGGATTGGGGGAAATGAGGGTTATTGTCGTGGAAGCACACTCGGCCTTTTGTGAGGAGGGTACAAACTGCATCACTCTCTCAAGTCCCTGCTGTTCAGCGTTCAGGAGTGGACACCACGATCCTGCATGCCTTCAGGGGGAGTTGCTTACTTTTCCTAGAGGTAAAATGGCTCGGTGCCGAGACGTGAGGAGGAGCCTTGAGTTTGTAGCCCCTTGAAGGAAAGAGTTCTGGGAAGATGGAGGTGAACAGCACTGAGGAGCGGAAACTGGGCTGGTGTGTGTCCCCCCACCCCGCCCCCCGCCAAGCTGGGAAATCCTGGGCCCCGGGGAGAGGGCATGGCCACACAGAGCCTGGCCTTCTCTGGGATGAACTGGGCATGCTACCTCAGGCGGGCCATTCCACCGCTCCTGAAGGCCTGTGTTCCCCTCATTTGTAAAATGAAGGGAGTGGGCTGGATTATCGTGAAAGTCCCCTCCAGTGCAGGGAGAATACCAGCGTGTGTCTCTTCCTTTAAGCTGAGTGTCCCCCAGAAGAAAGGCCCTTTGCTTGGAAAAGTAGCATGACATGATGGGACTGGTTCCGCTGTCACTGCTGTCTTTTTACTGCAGGAATTACAAAGGAGTGTGTCTGCCTTGCCAAACTGACAGGATCTTGTGTGAAAATACTCATGAAGGCAAAATGAAAAAGTGCCCCTGAAGAAGCTATCTGAGGCAAGGGTTCATTCTCTTTGGGACATCCTGTTGTATTGACTAAGTGGGAGGGAGCATGAGAAAAGCCCCCAAGAAGAATCATCTTGATCAGCATTCTTAGAAAGAAGGGCATGGGGTGAGGGTTATGCTATGATATCATTTGCCTCCAGCAAGGGTCCCCTCAAGGTTAGAGAAGCCCAGTTTATGTACCACTTTCTACTGACTCCCCCACCTCCTCCAATAGGAGGCCCTGATTTATGGGATTCAAATTAGACGGAGTTGAATTTATCAGTCAAGAGATTCAGGGAATAACTCTATTATTGTACACCATTATTTTACTTTCAGATTTTCACCAATTCCTAGAGTCACACCGGCACCAAGTGGTATATCCGTATGTGCTCAGAACATGCCCGGTTTTAGGTATGACACCCCACGATCAGAATTTGGGCAAAAGTCTGATTTCTTTTGAAAACAACTCAGATCAAACTCCATTCCTTTATTTTTTACACATTTATAGTAATTCTTCTCTTTGCTTAAAAAGTCACTTTTCATACCTATTTCAAGGGAGAGTCCGTGTATGCTCAGCTAAAGAATTATTTTTAGTCCCTTCCTTCCTTGCCTTTTTTCCCTAACTACTTGTTGTTTCAGTGATGGCTGAGATTTTGATTTCTCAGGCACTTCCAAGTTAGATCTCCAAGGTTCTGGCTAGATTTGTTTGAAACAAGATCCAGGTCGCATAAATCTAGTTTTAATACAAAAGGCTTTATTTTCCCCCCAAATACTTCATATCTTGTTTTATTTGACCATGAAAGTTACTATTGTGAAAGCTCCCTGTCATGTGTTCTTCAATAAGAAACAACTTTAGAAAGAGCACATCCAGAATGATTACTGTAAAATGCCAAACCTCCTGTACTCCTCCTGAAATTGTGATTTTTACAGTTCAGCCCAAACTGCCATCTGTAAAGACTCTATCTCAGATCAACGTATTTGCTGATAGCCAGTTTCTAAAGATTTTTTTTTATCAAATAGTGTCCTTATATTAGAAAAAATTAATTTCTGATCTATGCCTTAGCGATATTTGAAATGCACTTTAAGAGGAATGCTCTTTGTGGGATTATTTTAAAAGACCTCTCCCTTTAAAACCTAGACTGGGGGAACCTATTTGCAGAAATGTTTTGCGTATTTCCTCTGCTCACATCCCACCCCCCTTCCTTAAATCATCTGGCACCTGAAAGAAGTAGATATAATTTTAAAAATAGTACATATCACTCTTTTTTTAAAAAAAAATTATTTATTTTTTTATTTGACAGAGAGAGAGAGAGAGAGAAAACACAAGCGGGGGGAACGGCAGGCAGAGGGAGAAGCAGGCTCCCCAAGGAGCAGAGAGCCTGACTCGGACCTCCATCCCAGGACCCTGGGAAGGCAGACAATCGACTGAGCCACCCAGGTGCCCCCAAAATAGTACATATGACTCTTGAAGACCCCATCTACTTAAGGGAAAGCATGTTCACTTTTTTGCTTTTGCTTTTTTCAGGCAGCCTGAGGGGAAAAAAAAGTTCTATGTTTTCATGTGTCAGACCTGATGTGAGAGTTAATGGCAGGATTTGTGTCCTGGGTACTTACTGTTTGACTTCGAGTCTTAGCGTGGCAGGGCTGGATGGGGTCCTGGAACTTTGATTTATTTGTACAGACCCTGTATTTCCAAGAGGACTTAAAGCATTCAGGGACCTGATGTTTAAGGAGAAGGAAAGTGGTCGACAATGGGAGAGAAGAATGGTTGTTTCAAAACTAGCCAGTGAGCTTGGGAAAGGGCATGCAGATGCATTTCTGGATGTTCCTCCCTCCCAATGACCTCCTCACTGCAGGAGTCCCACATTAGATACAACTTCTTTGCTGTGTGAAGGGAGGGAAGAAAGGAATGAAAAGTATTGGACAACACTGCAAAAAATCGTGCACTTTCCCAAGAAAATAAAGCCTCCTTTCAAACTAGGAACAGAACCACTGCGAAACTCATCTTCGGGGCCTCCCCCTCCCCAACCCACCTTCGGGGAGAGGAAATTCTGGTGTCACTGTGACACCCTTATCTGAAGTCACTGTAGTCATTTCAGACCATATTGTGGTCAGAAAATGACCGTGCGTTGATTGATCAAAAGCAAAAGTCCTACTGAAAAGAAAGTGTTTTAAGAATAGTGGGCCTGGCCTCCTCCTTCTCCCTTCCATTTTAGGTTTTGTTTTCATCCCTTGGCAGCTTTGCATGAAGACAGCATGAAAAAGCAAAGATGTGCTTCTTTTCAGTGAGTGCTAATTCTGGAACATTGTCCAGGGGATCATTTCTTGGATGTTGAAGGTGACAAAATATACCTGAAGGTGGGACTGTCTACCTCTGAGCTGGGGAAACTACAATAGGCTCTCTTGGGCTGGGGGTGGGGATGAGAAAACAGAGAAGAGCCCTTTTCTGACCTTCCTGGAGCCCCTTCTTCTGTCTTTGAACCACAATGATTCCTATTTCCGCGATCACGTCCACAAAATGGAGAGCAGTGAACAGAATTCGGAGTTTGGCTGTCACATTCCCTTAACAGCCCGGTGAATAGCCTCTTAGGAAGTTTCCCTCAGAGTCCGTGGCTGTTGAGCTCCTTGGCATGAATGGAACATGGCCCTGCCTGGAAACACACTGCTCTCTCATTAGAGACTCACGCCTTCCATCTTGCACAGGGCTGTGCTCCAAACTGGGGTGGGCGGCACAACAGGGTGGGAATGAGGATTGTTGAGGACGGGGGGGGGGGGGGGGGGAAGATCGTGTGGTCCTATAAACCAGCATGGGCACTTGGAAAACTGCGGTGTACATGGCCTATTGATGGTGACTCGGGACTCAGGGCTACTATGTCATGAAAGGAGGCCTCTTTGACATTCTGTTTGGATGCCATTCCCTTAGCAATTCGCATGCATGCCCCACTTATCACATTAGGCACTCAAAACCAATAGTTTATTTATTTGCAACTTGACTGAAAATACAACATGCCCTACAAGAACAACAGGCACTGATTTTGTCCAGTTATTCAATTCATTTAACAACTATTTGAAGAATTACTCGATGTGCTATGCACAATTTATATCAGGCAGAAAAAATACTTTGGAAAAATTGTCATAAAGACCATGCTTCAGAAAATGGGACCTGCGAAATGACCATTGATGACAGGGGCCCATGCCATGCCTACAGGGGCCAGAGCAAAGGGAGGTACCGGTGGTAGAGGTGGCATAGGCATCATGGGTGGTCCCGGGGGCAGAGGTGGCCCAGGGAGCACAGGTGGCAGGGGTGGCCCAGGAGGCATGAGCACCCGGGGCACCAGAGGAACACATCTCCACCCGGCCTCTAGAATGGGGATCGCATGATAGGGCCCATCAAAGATCACTCCCACAGGAGGCCCCAAGGCAACGGGGGCCAGATTTCTAAGCATCAGGGCCCTCTGGTGTCTTCTCCACTTGGCCCTTCTGTTCTGAAACCAGACCTTCAATCAGAGGGAAAAAAGGGATTGGCTTAGTACATTGAACAGTTAATGTCATAATAAGAAAACACACAACATGCAATGCTGCCATTGAACTATTAAACTGTAGCAGGAGAAAGTATTTCCTTATCACTAAAATACCTTGAGAAAGCAAACCACATACCTCCCCTCAGCTAACCCTTAGTGAGCCATGGCTAGTCCACACTTGGGCACATTGATTGGTCTCTCTTCCCACTTTTAATATTCTTTAGTGATGCCCCCACCCCAGGTCTTGGATGTAAGTCTAAGTGATAAAGTGCACTGGCTCCCTGACGTTTATGCCTATGCCTGGCACCAGGGTAAAGAGAGAGTGGATCATCAGCCGTCGGGGGAAGTGTCACCCTGGTTAGGGGGGAGGTCGAGCATGGTATAAAGGTGGCCTGACGTGAAGTCATGCTGATGGGACCACCCCCTTTTCGAAACACTCCTCTTCAGTCTGAAGTTACTAATCCGTAGGAGCACACTGCAGTTTTAGACAGAAAATTTCCTTCAGTGATGTTGAAGGGACCATTCTTCTAAACCTCGTGAGAATTAAACAGGTGATATGTCAAAGGAGGCCTGATCACGGGGTCCCAAGGACTGCCCTGGACATCAGAGTTGCTGAGGCCCCTCGACGCTGCTTTGCTATTTTAGCCTTTAGTGTTCAGGAAAAGTTTAACTTAACTGAATCCGAATTCAATAGACTTAAAATTTTTTCCCCAGATAAGAGACTGGGTACCCCATTGTCATGACTATCAATTTTGCATGCTCCCATCTACCTTACCCTCCAAACCTCCCTGGGCTCAGGAGCAGGTCAGCTCATTCAGCTCTAGCTACAGTTCTAGGATCCCGGACAGAAGCTACTGTGCCCACGGACAGAGGTGGGGCACCTTAGGCCCTGACAGCTCCACTCCTTAACCAAGGAGACTCCAATCCCATCACTCATTCCTGAGGCCGGAAGGTCCAATTACGCATTTAAGGAAGATGTGCAACAACAATGGGGGGGGGTAGGGCTCACAAAAGAGGCTCCTCTCTGAGTGTTTGCCAACTATTAACAAACAAACAGACGAAAAAGTTGTCAATTGGACTTTACTGTCCTCTTGGTATACTAGTTAATAGGGTTTACATTGTATTTAATCCTTTTGGAAGTTCCCAAACTGCAGTATTTTAATTGAGACAAAGGGCCTCTTCTGTGGGCAGCTACCTTTTCTCCCTTCCATCTTAGGATTTGGGGTCCTGCTGCATGGATATACAGTCTGAAAAAAAGCCAGTGTAGTAGAGCTCATTTGGGAGAGATTCGAACGTATCAGTGGTGAAATCTCCCTAAACATAAATAAAGCCCATATCTGGCAAATTTTGCTATGGGCCAATATTAGGTCCATATTCCCAATACTGGTTTCATAAAAGAGGTCTACTATATTTGCAAAAGGTGGGGGGAAGCATCTATTATAAAGTTTCTTGGGGGAAATTCATGCTGCAGAGCTTGAAAATATGTGAGAGCATAGTCTTCTTCCCTGTTTGGATTTTCTGGCTCATTTCCCCTTCAGAAATCAATTGACAGGACTACATAAACCCAGGGAAGAGGAAAAGCAACTCAGCAAACCTTGTTTTTATTTTCCTCTGAGATTACTTTGCCTGCCTGAGAAAGTAGAGGACTTGTCCTATTTCTCTGATGTACCTATGATTTTCTATGACCTCAAATAGTCACCTATTTGAGCCCATAACCAACAAATTAATAATCACTTCCTGAATAGTGCTTTAAATGAACACACGTGGGGCGCCTGGGTGGCTCAGTCGGTAAAGCGTCTGCCTTTGGCTCAGGTCATGATCCCAGAGTCCTGGGATCGAGCCCCACATTGAACTCCCTGCTCTGGGAGAGCCTGCTTCTCCCTCTCCCTTTGCCTGCTGCTCCCCCTGCTTGTGCTTTCTCTCTTTCTGTCAAATAAATAAGGGTTGCCTGGGTGGCTCAGTGTTAAGCGTCTGCCTTCCGCTCAGGTGATGATCCCAGGGTCCTGGGATCAAGCCCTACATCGGGCTCCCTGCTCCGCGGGAAGCCTGCTTCTCCCTCTCCCATTCCCCCTGCTTGTGTTCCCTCTCTCGCTCAAATAAATAAATAAAATCTTTAAAATAAATAAATAAAATCTTAAAAAAAAAATTAACACAAGAATCTGGCCTGAAATGAGAACACCCTCAAAATCAGATTCCAGAAAACCCACCTTTTCAAAATATTACCACCAAAAAGGGAAAAAAAGTCTTAGAGTATTAAAGATTCCTCATGGCAATATTCATTTATACACTTGGTGGTTTCATAAAGTTGAATTTGTGTGACATGTACAATGCATATATTTGAATGTATACAATACTTCTCTAAACTTTCGCCTCTTCTTAGGTCAGTGGAACTTTATTAAAATTGGTTCCCTTTTTTGGTTCCATTCTTTAAGACAATTTTCCTTTCCCCATTACTACCATAATCCTAAATATTTTAGTAATGTTTCAGGCGGACATCAAAGTCTTCCAAAAAATTAAAATTTAAGGCTGTCACTCTCTATGCTGCTTTACAAAAACACTTACAAAATGGCAGTAGGTCCAGGCACTTGGGACTTTTAAGCTACCCTCCCACCCCAGTTTCAGTTTACTAAACATACATTAGTTACTCATGCACTGTGTTCTGTGTGTGAATTACTCCTTCACCCTAGTGTCTGAGTATTTATAAATTCACTCATTTAGCCAAGAGCTTATACCTGGTTTTAAATATTTCAAATAATTTAGTATGGTTAAACCTTCTTTTAACCAAGCTCTTCAGTGCATTAATTTGTAACTTCCCAGGTGGGATTGAGCCCCAACATGATCCTATGTAGAAATATTCCTTTAGGGAGGACTAACATCCTTCCTGAAAGATACCAGCGTTAAAAGGAGGTGAACTTGGGCGCCTGGGTGGCTCAGTTGGTTAAGCGACTGCCTTCGGCTCAGGTCATGATCCTGGAGTCCCAGGATTGAGTCCGCATCGGGCTCCCTGCTCTGTGGGGGGTCTGCTTCTCCCTCTGACCCTCCCCCCTCTCATGTGCTCTCTCTCTCTCATTCTCTCTCTCAAATAAATAAATAAAATCTTTAAAAAAAAAGGCGGTGAACTTTATTGGGGGAAAAGTGTGTGTGTGTGTATATGGGTGAGGGAGAAGTGTGTTCGATTTTTTTTTTGTTAGGAAATCATATTTCCTTTGGTAATGGGAAATTTCCAGAATCTCCAGCTTACCTATCCCATTTCCCACCCCCAAGGCACCCAATGTTCAAAACTTATTTGTGAAACATGGAAAGGCAGCAAACCACACCAATTTCACGATGTTCAGGACAAAACCTCAAGTATGTTTTATACTGGCTGCCCTGTGTCATGTGCTCTTTTAAGATTTACTGACCTGCACTCTGGCTTCAGTCAAATTCAGACGTCCAGCGATCTCTTCTCTGAGGGAGGAAAATTGCAAATGTTCAGTATTTGGAGTTGTGGATAAAATGAAATATGTCATGTACATTATTTCTACCCCCCTCCCAGTGCAGTTTTCTGTAATACAGCTTGAGGCTTGCTTTAGGGAGTTTTGCCACGGACAACTTATCTGTATTAAATAGTATAGAAAAAGGGAATATATATGAAAGTTCCTGGTAGTGTGTCTGTTAGTTGAATATGACTCCATCAATTTTTCTCTTTGTGGACCAGCAGAGAACAACCCTGGAAATCTTTTCTTGGGAGGTCCCTCTGTGAAAATAAATAAAATGCCAAAAGCCTTTAAAGCGGAATTTGAACCAGAGTATTTGTTGTAAAGGAAGGGTTTATTGTAAAGGAAGAGGGGAACTCTCAAGGAGGAACTCCGAACCATCGGCCAAGCGCTCAAGGGAGATTTTTTTTTTTTTTTCTCTTTGGCTGGCGAAGGCTGAATACAGCAGAACCAGAAAAAGTGCCCCGAAACCTCACACCGATACGTCCTGGTCCCCCATTCCTGCCGGGCAAGAATAGGCCTGCCCCTCCGTACACTCCCGCGATCCGACAACGGTTCCTTGCTCGCTGGCTTTTAAACGCTCGAAACTCTGCCGCCAGGAAATAGCGCCCCACGTGGCAGGGCCGAAACTCTACGGTGAGGCAAGTGAGCTCGCCTCGTGTGCAAAATTTTAAATGCGCGAAAAAACTGAGCAATCACGATAAATATTCTAATGCAATATTCAAAATACAAAAATTAACGCAAAAAACTCAGGATGAGCAAATTACCAAAATTTTAAATAAAAGCGGGATCAATCCGCACTCCCTTACTCACTTCACCCTAGTTCCGCTACTATCTCACTGCCCCGCAAGCTCTCCTCAAGCCCTGGGAGCAAGGACGGACCCTGGCGCCCTCGAACCGCCTAAGCGGCTTTTGGGTCAGGGGAGGAGGGAAAGGGTCCCGGGAAAAAGCCCAAGACTCCCGAGGCCCCTGGAGAACTGCGTGCCGGAGGGACCAGCCACTTACCTTTCGAACACGTCGGGGTACTGAGTGCGATGGAAAACGCCCTCCAGCTCCTGCAGCTGCAGCTGGGTGAATGCGGTGCGGTTGCGGCGCTGCTTCCTCTCAGCGATCAGTGGCCCCTGCACGGCCAGAGGGGCCGGCTCCTCCTGCTGCTGCGGGGGCTCCAAGCCACCCCCACAGCCGCCCTCCTGGTTTTCGTCGTTCGAGGAGCTCGGCTCTCCCGCGCCAACGCAGTTTGCCGCCGCCGCTTCGCCCTCAGGTTCGGACCGCCTATCCTCCTCTCCTCCCGTCAGAATCAGTGAGGTCAAGTTTGGCTTCGCATCTGGGAAAAGAAAAAAGCAAAAGAGACCGGAGCGTCGGAGCCCACGCTGCGTGGGCTGCGGAGGCATGGGGTCGCGATGGAAGATAGAGGGCGACAGCCGCGCAGCGGCGCATCCACCCGATTCTCCCAGGGAAGTTCCTCTCCTGGAGTCCGCCAAAGCACCTGTGCCCGTCTAGGCACTGACCATACTCTTCCTCCTCCTCGTCGACCCCCAGGTTGCGGTAGCTCGCGCTGTAGGGGTTGCACCCGAAATCACGCTCCATGCCCACAGTGCTGTCGATGAAGCCTAGCGCATCCACAGATTCTTCGCTAGGGTCGCTGGCGACCCCTGCGTGGCGGCGGCGAGAGCTGGGACTAACTGCCCGGTGAGGTGCTCTTCTGGCGCCGGGACCTCTTCTGGCGCCGAAACTGAGACTTGCGCGCTTATATACGGGGTACGTTGCGTTCCGCGGGCTCAAAGTGTACGCGCTCGCGTCGGTTAGACGCCCTCTATTAGCGTTCACATTACCCCTAGTTGGTGTCGGTGGGACCTGACGGGGGCGCACTGGCGGCAGGGGCGTGTAAGTAAAATAGGGCGAGTGTTTGCGAGAATGGGCATGCCTGTGTGGGGAACTGTGACTCCAAATTGCAATTTAACTGACTACTCCCAACTCGGACGAAATATGTGATTGGAGGATGGGGTTGTGCTGGATCGAGAAAGTCATTTTGGGGGGTGCGGGGGGGGGGCAAGACTTCACTCTAGATCCTGGAGTTCGTGGAGGAGTGTTTGTAACATATTCCTCCGCGCAACCTTCGATGTTCCCCAGACCATAGAGGAAGCGGTGTCACTTGCTTCCCCCGGGGAAAAGACGGAGAGATAGGGATGCAGAAAGTGCGGAGCCCTCAGCCGCCCAAGCACGCTAAAGCGAAGTTAGTCTACCCTGCGTTGGGCTCTGAGCGCCGCTCTCCCCTCCTAGAACTTTGTGACTGATGGATGGTATTATTTGGTTCTGTTCTATTTGCACTCGAAGTCCGGGTATCAGGCTAGTGATTAAGACGAAACGATAAGCTTGGAGCCTGCTTGCCCCGGGTTTTTGCGACCAGATCCCCGGTGTACTCCGGAAGCGGTGGATTGTAGTTAGGTTTGCTGAGCAGTCCGGGTGCTCACATGCACGCTGCGAGAAACCCAACCTGCCTCTTGAGAAAGCTCCAAGGACTTCAGATTTTTAGTAATGAACCCATGTCAGAGTGTAAGTGTAGAACCCTGCCAAGTGCTTAGTGCATCCAAGAATGCCTATGCTGCACGGGCTCCTTCCTTCAGTGCCTGGCAATTGCAAGATTTGCTGTGCTTCTTATTGCAACCCCGCTCTGCAAGGCGCCTAGAGCGCGCCTTATTCCCGGGCCAGTGTTGCAAACCCGGGAAGAGTTCGCCTTATCCACTACTTCTCCCCGTTCCTTTTCTTTCTTTCTTTTTTTTTTTAAGATTTTTACTTATTTATTTGACAGAGAGAGACACAGTGAGAGAGGGAACACAAGCAGGGGGAGTGGGAGAAGGAGAAGCAGGAGAGAGAGAAGCAGGCTTCCCACAGAGCAGGGAGCCCGACGCGGGGCTCGATCCCAGGACCCTGGGATCATGACCTGAGCCGAAGGCAGACGCTTGACGACTGAGCCACCCAGGCGCCCCTCCCCGTCCCTTTTCTACAGTTATCTTCCTGAGCTGGTTTTCTCCACGAATGTGCCAAATAAAAAAGGACCGCGCCACGATTGAAGGCTCTATGGTTCTTTCTCCAAGAAGTGTTTGCAGGTGCTCCAGGACGTGTTAATGTCCTTTATATTTAAGAATAACTTCTAATAATGGGCGCTCTGCTTGGCACTGTACACAATTTATCCTACTCTTACCTTTACAACCACCATTATTATCATACCCATTTTTTTTTTTACAGAAAACCGAGCCCTAGGGAAGCCAGGCACCGTGCCCATCCATGGTCATACCAGCAAGTTTGATTACAAAGTCCGTGCGCTTTTCACCGTATTACTGTCGTCTTATTTCAAAAGAGTATATAATGGTGAGGTTCCAGGCAGGAGGGGAGGGGGAAGGTATTTTGGGCAAGAAGATCATTGGGCAGAGTCTTAAGAAATCCTGAGTGCCAGGGGTCTCCCCCTCTTCCTCCTGCTCTGCTTCAGGCCTCTTTCTCCTTGCTGAGTCTCCCAAAGCCAGAAGTTTGGGATTCAGGAGTGCTGGGTTTCCCAGCCTGTCTCTTCACTTTTGCTCAACACTACGGGGACGCTGGCGGGGGCAGGATGCTACATGCATTGGCTGCTGAGCTGGTTACGTGCAGACACAGGAGGGAGAGGTGAGAAGACCCACCCTTGCATTGGGGCCACATTAGGACTTTTCTGGACCCTAGGCATTTTTGCCTTCCTGGGCCCCTTCCTCCATAAATATATATATTTTATACATAAAACTCTCTCTCACTATGGACCTGAGAAACAAACAGGGTTTTAGAGGGGCGCGGGGGGGGGATTGGTTAGCCCGGTGATGGGTATTAAGGAGGGCACGTACTGCATGGAGCACTGGGTGTTATATGAAAACAATGGATCGTGGATCACTGCATCAAAAACTAATGATGTATTGTATGGTGACTAACACAACATAATAAAATTTAAAAAAATAAAAAATAAATAAATAAAATAAAAAATAAGAAAAAAATAAAACTATATATACATAAAACTATATATATATACATAAAACTATGTATACACATAAATATATATAAAATATATTTCACATATATAAAAATATATATAACTATATATATAAATATATGTAAAATATTTCACATATATTTAATATATATATTTCAAAGCTGTGTTGGTATAAAGATAAATGTAATGTGGCTTGGATTATATTAATTTTTTCTTTTGATTTCAAAAGCAATGAAAACATTTTCCTGGGCTCCTAAAATTATGGTGGGCAGTGGGTACTGTGACTACTGTGACTAATGTAGAAATTCCCCTGCCTCATGTTCCCAGAGGTGGCAGGTGAGAAACCAGCTAATAGGTGGTTGGCTGACCAGTTCATTTTCAAAAAGAGGTCAAGGGATGGCAACGCCACAGCCCCTCTCTGACTTTAATCACAATATTTCTTGCTCAGGTTGGCTCTTGCTGAGTTCTGCTGGCCTCCCTCTCTTTTGGCCAGATGCCTGGTGAAAAATTTTGGCTTGGGATGAGTTACCACACAAGAGATCCGTACAGGTTTTCATCATGGTGTGCAGTAGCTTACCTAGTTCATTGGTAACAGCTCAGGTGTGTTCTCTCGCATCTTAGATTTCCATGGTTTACTCCAGCGTTTTCTAAACCTCATTCATGTGCCCCTCGCTCGTTTTGCCATACCTGGGTACCAGCCATGGTAGTATTTAATTAACATGTTTACTTAAATTGATTCACCTTTTGAAAACCTTAAATACCTAATTGGACCTCATGCTAGGCAAAAATAGCTGTGACTTCAAGGCTTCGATATATCAGATTTATGGGAGGTAGAATGCGACAGTCGTTGAGAGAAGGGACCCTGAAACCAGAATGCTGGTGTCTGAATCCTAGTTTTGATTGCTACTTGTTAGCTGGGTAACCTGGTGAGTTGCTTATTCTTGTGCCTTTGTTTTTCTCATCTGTGAAATAGGAATAACTAATAATACCTACTTCATGGGGTTGTTGTGAGGATTAGTGGAAATAATCACAATAGCTAACACTTAGCTAATTCTTGCTATGTGGCAAACACTGTTCAAAGTGCTTTCTGTATATTAACACATTTAATTCTCCTTACAACCCTATGGAGGTAGTTGCTGCTATTATCTTCATTTTACATATAATGCTCTTGAGTCACAGAGAGGTTAAGTAACTTGTCTAAAGGCACCCAGCTGGTAAGGTTTTGGATCTTAGATTTGAATTTTCTTAATATGATGCTTTATAGAGAAAACATGTTCAATAATGGTACTATTATGATTTTTTTTTTTAAAAATATACTATCCAGTCATTTCTAGTATATTCAGTGCTTTGCAACTATCACCACTGTCTAATTCCAGAACATTTTCATCACTCTGTAAAGAAAGTTGGTACCCATTAGCAGTCGTTTCCCAGTCCTTACCTCCCTGCAGCCCCTGATAAACACTAATGTACTTTCTTTCTTTTTTTTTAAAAAGATTTTATTTATTTATTTGCCAGAAAGAGAGAGAGAGAGAGTACAAGCAGTGGGAGCAGCAGACAGAGGGAGAGGCAGGCTCCCCGCTGAGCAAGGAGCCCGATGTGGGACTCGATCCCAGGACCCTGAGATCATGACCCGAGCTGAAGGCAGACGCTTAACCATTTGAGCCACCCAGGTGCCCTAATGTACTTTCTTTCTATCTCTATGGATTTTCCTATTCTGAGTATTTCATACCAACGGAGTCATGCAAAATGTGACCATTTGTGCCTGGCTTCTTTCACTTAGCATCATGTTTTTGAGGTTCATGCATTTGTAGCCTGTGTCAGTACCTCATTTCTTTTTATGGTTGAATAATATTCCATTCTATAGATAGACTACATTTTGTTTATTCATCTGTTGATGGACATTTGAGTTTCCAGCTTTTGGTGATTATGTATAGCGCTGCCATGATTGCTATGAACACTTGTGTACAAGTTTTGTTTGAATATGAATTTTCAGGGTTTTTTTGGATATATACTTAGGAGTGGAGTTACTGGGTCATATGGTAATTTTATGTTTAACTTTTGGAGGAGCAATCAAAGTGTTTTCTACAGCAGTTGCACCATTGTACATTTCTACTGGTAGTGTAGGAGGGTTCCAATTTATCCACATCCTTGCCAACACTTGGTATGTTCTGCTTCTTTTCTTTTTTTTTTTTATAGCCATCCTTGTAGGTGTGAAGTGGCATCATTGTGGTTTTGATTTGCATTTTTCTAATGACTACTGATATCTAGCATCTTTTAATTTGCTTGTTAGACATTCATATATCTTCTTTGAAGAAATGTCTGTCTTTTGCCCATGTATTACTTGTCTTTTTATTGTAGAGTTCTAAGAGTCTTTATATATTCTGGATACTAGACTCCTTATGATGTGATCCTTTAAGTTTTCTTTTCAGTTTCTTGATAGTGTTCCTCGAAGTTTGCAATCACAAGCCTGCCCTCATGTGGCTTTAGAGTTCAAATGAACATTATAAGCACAGTCTAACTCATTCCTGGTAGCAAATCCAGACATGTGGCAAAAGCAAATCTAATTTTTTTTCTGGAG